AGTTCATCGACTATTAAGTATGTAATACTGTCTTCCTAGTCACTAACTCACAAAGTAGTCATCAATTTCATACTATCTATAGGTTGCATCCAAAGCAATATTTTGGGTTATTTATTTCAACTTCCTAACGCTTAATTTCGAAATATCTCGCTTTCACTGCAGTGAATCTGTTAAGGAGTGGTCTTTTCAAGATTGTGGCCGTTACAAACATCAAAGGGTAGGTGTCCATTTCAAAGCTGAGCACGTGAACCGGAAAATGTGCAAAATTCAGTAGCCATTAAATGCTTCCAAACATACTTACAAACCAATCACAAAATTGACAATGCGATGATCTTACCAGCGAGGTGTAAAACGACGTTTAAATATGGTCCTTTCTTTTTGTATATGACTATTTTTGGAAGGTTTCCTTCCTCAGTCTAGACCCCTAATGGGAGCAGGGTACAACATATGGGTTATTTATAATTAAAACACAAAACATGTACTATTGGAAAAAACATAACCGTTTTGTGTATGTCAAGGATTGGTCTCTAAGATATTTTGATGGGTTTTGCAAAAATGCAAAAAAAGATTGTTCTCATGTTTAAGTTCAATATTTAGCTAAGTTGAAATAAATGCAGTGCCACAAAAGTTTCACAAAAAAACTATTTTGATAATGGTAAATTAAACTAAATATTTAAGGATACATGTACTATCATATCTGCCAACTTTGCTTTTTATCTTAATTTACTTATAAAACGTGACAATAATTGACATCTTTTAACTAGACTTAATGAGAAATTGGAATATTTTGATTTTCTAATTGTGAGCTTTCCGTTTCTCGATGGTAACTTCCAAGCTATACCATCTTATGGAGTATTCATATCACAATTCATTCGTTATTCTAGAGGCTCCTCACAGTCTTTGAAGACCATTGTACATTTTCAGGTTCTCGTTACTGCATGCCGTGCTCAGATCATGTTTAGAAACAACAGTTTTTCAGGTTTGATTGGAAACCTACCATATGCTGTCTGTAACGGCCGCCATCTTTAATAGACCACTCCTTAACAGATTCATGACAGTGGCTTTTGATCTTGCGGTTGACCGTTCGCCGAAGCGAGGAAGGTTATGTCTCCTGACCTTGACAAACCAAAGTCTTTAAAATTGGTAATCTTTGCATTCTGCATGACGTTTAGCTTTATATAGTTAGCGGTAAAGTCTGGTTCACTCGATGTCAGTATAATGTGACCGGTTGGAATGTTGTGCTGGGTGCCTTCGGGATGGTTTTTCATTGAGGTAACACTTTAAAGCTGTCATCATATCTGATATCATATCCCCCCGCCAAACAAAAACAAACACAAAAAAACAAACCAACCTTGTTTGTAATATTGTAATATCACTAGTTCATTGTCATCATGGTCTCTAGTTTATTAAGTATTGGACATTGTCATATTTAGTCCAATATTAATAAGTTTAGATGTTGCCTTCATAGTCGCTGGTTCACAAAGTAATGTATAATCATTGTCATGAAAGTGTGACACCTACTCTGTCACACGGTTCTATTGATTCTGCCGATCGATACTATAACGGTACACGGCGTTCACACCTTTATCGCTGACCCGTGAACATTAACTAGCTATATCATCACTAGTCGAAAATGATTATACCCTGAAGGATGCAACGTTAATATTTTAGCGTCTTTGTTGATGATGTTTTGATTGGTAATATGCTTTCGGGAAATATTTGATTGATCACTATAGCAAACCATATTAAACGGATAACCAGGGGAAATACTTCATTAAAACCAAACCGAAAAGCACATTAAGATAATGCTAAAAGTGGCTCGTTTAGTTGTGTGATCCACGAACTATCCATGTAGAGCCAAACAATGTGGCAACTATAACCCTAAATAAACTGACCAGGGGTAGACAACTCTACACGAGCTGGTCAGGAGTAAACAACTCTACACGAGCTGGTCAGGAGTAGACAACTCTACACGAGCTGGTCAGGGGTAGACAACTCTACATAAACCGACCAGGGATAAACAATTCTACACAACCTGGTAAGGGGTAGACAAATTAAAGTAAACCGATTAGGGGTAGACCACGCTATATAACCGACCAGGTGTAACACAGCTCTACACGAGCTGGTCAGGAGTAGACAACTCTACACGAGCTGGTCAGGGGTAGACAACTCTACACGAGCTGGTCAGGGGTAGACAACTCTACACGAGCTGGTCAGGAGTAGACAACTCTACACGAGCTGGTCAGGAGTAGACAACACAACACGAGCTGGTCAGGGGTAGACAACTCTACACGAGCTGGTCAGGAGTAGACAACTCAACACGAGCGCTGGTCAGGGGTAGACAACTCTACACGACCTGGTCAGGAGTAGACAACTCAACACGAGCTGGTCAGGAGTAGACAACTCAACACGAGCTGGTCAGGGGTAGACAACTTTACATCGGGACAAGGTCGATTTCGCACCAGTTCTAACTGGATAACAGAGCTGATTAAGCTAGTTTAGTAGAACGATTAGAATAACTAACTCTGCTATTTGTTTTAACTTATATAATGTAGATGGATGTAAATGACACCCAGAACACATTATAAAGATAATGTGGACCGCTTGGTATTAAGGGTTGCTATATGTTAGTAGATATCACTATTTCGAACAACAAAACTTTTAATCCATTCATTATCAATTTATCATACAGAGATATTTCATCTCGATCACTATACGATGATGTTTGTACACAATAACAATTCAAAAATAAAAACACATATTGCTGTGTTAAAATCCTATTCTATTAATGGCAATAACAAAACCATAATATTTTATAGGATTTATAAACGGAGAAGCAATAGCGTAACGTTGCTATACAATTTTGTCACCGAGAAACTTTTGTATATATTATTACAGTTCTAAGGAAACATATCACATTTTCCGTACAAAAAGTTGTGCCTAGGAATATGTATAAGGTTTATAAGTATATAGTTAATCTCTCTAATACAAAGATTTTTAAATTTCTTAGGTAACAAAGATGTGCACATATTAGTTTCATAGGAAAATGTATAATGTGTTTATATGATAATTATAGTAAAGTCCTTAGATAGGGAGATGTATACATTTCTTAGGAAACTGTGTGGTGTTTTTTTTTATAAAATAAGGTCCTTACATAAAAAGATGTACAAAATATTTTGGAAACTATGTGTTTTTATAAAATAAAGTTCCTAGATGCAAAGATTTTTTTTAGAAAACTGTTAAACTTATATTTGTGTACTGTAGTTATTAGGAAAATGGATTTTGCACAGAGTATAATGCTTGGAAAATAATATAAAAAAAATGTACATAATGTATTTTCGCTAGGACAAAATATTGTATTTTTGTACATAATGTAGTTTCGCTAGGACAAAATATTGTATTTTTGTACATCATGTATTTTTTGGAAAACTATATAATATTTTTGTACATAATACATATAATACATTTTTTAAGAAACTATAACATGAATATTTTTTGCGTAGAAAAATATTTAAAAGTGATAATATTATAATGTGTATACAATTTCTGTTTTCTGTAGATAATGCACTTCGAAAGTAAATATGTTTTGTATAATTAAAATGATAATAAATCATGTTTATGAAGGCATTACAGATCTAAGGATAACACATTATTTAACGTTATGTACAAGTCTTCAGTGTAAGATTTCATTGGATATAATGATCATATTATATACATATACGTATTAAACATATGCTTGTAGTTTAAAGAAAATTACATATATTTTTATATGTACTTTTCCACACAAACCTTAAAGAAACAGACTCACATTTCGGTTTACTCTATTGTTTTAATTAAGGGAATATCCTTGTTTTTTGTACTTAATCCTATTTAAAGTAAAAATCGTGTTTGTAAGGGCACAGTAGTTGTAATGAACATCCATCGTGTTGATTATGTTTGGTACAGAGAACTATACACATATGTTGTTGTTTGTGTGTGATATAACTATAACTATTAGAAAATTATATCATGTTGTTTATGTAATGTTCAGATGAATATATAAAAAATTATATCATGAAGTTTTACACAATAAATATAGATCTACGCAATAAAATTACAGTAATGTCAATATATCACGTCCTTTTTCACAATATAATTCAAAGGAAATATAAAATCTAACTGTTTTAATACAATGAATGTCAGAGGAAAATACATCTAATTGTTTTTACACCATTCTTAAGTTATATTATGTCGTGTCGTTATCGATATGACTCCAAGGTTGTGCTGTATTTTTTCAGTTAACGGAAGAATAAAAATATTACGAAGGTACAACATTTAACCACAAGAAAAAATTGTAAACAAATACCAGTATATGACTGATACATCATGGCGACGTGAACTCGGCGGTAAATATACATAAGAAGAATTTCGTAATACCTGGTTTGATCGCCTTACCAGACACGACCGTTATATCATGTTTATACGGAATAGGTCGATAACAACATCACATGTACAGTCAATAGATATTGAATAAAACGGTTTTCTTTTCTCCGAATAAAAACACTATTTTGTCTCAATCCTTTTTGACACGAAACATGAAAATGTCCATATATCTGACTAAAACACATGAATACCTTACTGAACTGTATAAACAATGGATATATAACAGCGCTACGTTTTAAATTCTCTTTAAATATGTCATCCAAAACGAAGAAACCTGATATTGAAATGTAAGTTGATTTTCGGGAAAGTTTTACTGAACTCTTCTATCAACTGATAACATTTAACAATTTCAGACGTAATAAACATGACGTTTTCTGTTGGTGTAGCTACACCACACTGATTTGAACTGTAACACAACAGAAAACAGAATTAAACAATGATCAAAACCTGAACCACTTTCATACTCCATGTAGAAATCCAGGGATTGACTGAAATGTAAGGACAGAAAAAGGCGTGTATAAAAAATAAAGATTTCCACAGACGATGAGGGTTTCCTCATCACAGAAAATATTACTTACGTTGCCCACTAGATCGCCTGATAATATTTTCCAGGAAAGTATTTTGTGGGGCCACAAGGCCCCGTCTAGCCCCGGGCATGTCGGGTGGGGTTGATCCTCCTACCCACACAAAACTGAATCGCTAAGTCACAGAATCAGCATCCTCCCCAGGTGTGACCGCTAGCCTAACACGGCCTACCTGTAACACTATTTCACTGTAACATCCTAACAGTCATCACCAAAACCAAATTCATGGACTCTCCATCTTGACTGGACACCACTGTGCTACAATTCCTGTCTCCAGGTAAAAGCGTTTGGAAACCGACTTAATTATTAATAATCTTATTTCTCCGTTTGCGCATGTCTGTTACAGGTAATTATGTCTACCTGCCAGAAATTGTTTCATGTCGCTAATTTACGACAAGACTGAAGCTATGATGCGCTCGTCACCATGACGACACCGTGACACTCGGCCATTAACGATTCATCGTAGTCACTAGCTCAAAAAGCTATGTTTTCATAAATTATTCGCCATTTCGACACTAAATGGTTATCGCTGCTAGTCAGTTTCGCGTCAATTCCAAGTCGGAAACTTTGGAATGACGTTTCGGTAAGGGGAGAGTAATTCGTACAGTCCTAGAGAAATTGTATGGAGTAAATTGAAGGTATATATTAAGAGAAAAACACTATTAGCAGTTGGTAGCAGCGGGAAATATTTTTTCTATAGCGTGTATTGATTTTCGTCACAATAGTATATACTGAATAATTGATATGGAACCACTTAAGTTAACGTTATCGGAGGGCCGCCCAGGCATCACTCGCTGGTCGATAGCATGTCATTGAGTTTTTACAGAGCGACCAGTGATGTCTCCCTACACACCGTTGTCACCGCCCCGACCTCGACTCAGCACCCAAACTAAAACGCCAGATCTACAGCATCCCAGACCAGCACTCTAGCGCATAGCCTACATCAAAGGCTATCGATCGGAACTCTTCAGTATCGCGAGTGGAGAAAGAGGAAGTACTGCCGAGTTACGTTAATAACGTATAAACACACATAAACACAGGTATAGTGTTTTATTTGACAATTATCGAACGCGCAAACTCAGAAATGTGTTTAGGTACTAGCCAAGCAGGTGTTGTAAAAGGGTGGGCGACAGGTGTCACGATACAGGTAAATGGACTCTGATACCACCGCAGCAACCTAGCTGGCAGTCTATTGTTATCTTCAATCAGATTCATAGATTACTTTATACACAATGTACGTATTAAACATGTCGCAACGTTTCAAGAGTGACTGTTTCTTTTGTCAAGCTGATTGGTTGTTATTTTAAGCGACAGTGACTGTTATTAGGGCTTGATAGTATAGCTACTTTCATTTTCATGAGTTTCTGTTTAATTGCATTTTCCAAGCCTGAACATTCCGATATTTCATAAAAATCTTAAACTTTCGAGTTATCTAGTTAGAAATTGCATCCTTGTGGTTGTTTTCAGCCATCCTTACACCGTTGTAGTCGGGTGATGTCACGATTCCATGGACTTACATGTAGAATCAAAAGGGATTATTTTCATCATCTTCGTATACGAAGTAAAAAGGATCCAGTCTGTTTCAAGTGCTGGTTTTATTTTGCAAATTAACAGTGAATGTCCATCTTCACAACAGAAACACAGATATACTAAAGTATCAATATATATATATACCACGACAACAGGTCAAGCATTTGTTCAGTTTCTGTGTCGACCAAAATTGGATTCGGGATTTTCAACTTGTCAAAATTTTATCGAAAGAAAAAAAGGAAAATACAAAGAAAGAAAAATCAAAGATGAAATCAAAACACAGAGTCTATACAAAATTAAAAACAGTGTGAGTTGAGTAGTTTCCAAAAAAATAATAAGCTCCACATACAACGCCAGATAGACCAGGTTGTCTTGGAGACATTTCCTGGACTTTGGCCCTCACTGTTAGTCCAAACCAAGCAATGTATATAATTCAGCAACGAAGCTACCATGACACCTGTAACTCTGACAACAACCACTCCGAAACGTCTCATGTGTACATTTAAATATTTCCTGTAGAAAACCCTGTCTAGGTTATTTATTAACCAAATAATCCAAATTAAGAGAGGAGTCCAAAAATAATAGTGAGAGATGGGACACTTTAGAGAGGAGTCCAAAGATTAGCGTGTATAATAAGACACTTTAGAGAGGAGTCCAAGGATAAGTGTGAGTGATGAGACACTTTAGAGACGAGTCCAAGGATAAGTGTAAGTGATGGGACACTTTCGAGACGAGTCCAAGGATAAGTGTGAAAGTNCAACAACCACTCCGAAACGTCTCATGTGTACATTTGAATATTTCCTGTAGACAACCCGGTCTAAGTTATTTATTTACCAAATAATCCAAATCTAGAGAGGAGTCCAAAAATAAGTGTGAGAGATGGGACACTTTAGAGAGGAGTCCAAAGATTAGCGTGTGTGATGAGACACTTAAGAGAAGACCCAAGGATAAGAGTGAGTGATGGGACACTTTAGAGAGGAGTCCAAGGATAAGTGTGAGTGATGGGACACGTTAGAGTAGAGTGCAATGATTGGCGTGAGTGATGGGACACTTTAGAGAGAAGTCCAAGGATAGGTGTGAGTGATGGAACACTTTAGAGAGTAGTCCAAGGATAAGTGTGAGTGAAGAGACACTTTAGAGAGCAGTCCAAGGATAAGTGTGAGTGATGGGACACACCAGAGAGAAGATTGCAATGATTGGCGTGAGTGATGGGACACTTAACAGAGGAGTCCAAAGATAAATGTGAGTGATGGGACACTTTAGAGAGGAGTCCAATGATAAGTGTGAGTGATGGGACACTTTAGAGAGAAGATTGCAATGATTGGCGTGAGTGATGGGACACTTAACAGAGGAGTCCAAAGATAAATGTGAGTGATGGGACACTTTAGAGAAGAGTCCAAGGATAAGTGTGAGTGATTGGACACTTTAGAAAGGAGTCCAAAGAGAAAGAGAAGCGTGTGTGATGGGACACTTTAGAGAGGAGTCCAAGGATGAGTGTGAGTGATGTGACACTTTAGAGAAGAGTCCAAGGATAAGTGTGAGTGATGGGACACTTTAGAAAGGAGTCCAAAGAGAAGCGTGTGTGATTGGACACTTAAGAGAGGAGTCCAAGGATAAGTGTGAGTGATAGGACACTTTACAGAGGAGTCCAAAGATTTGCGTGAGTGATTGGACACTTTAGAATGGAGTCAAAGGATAAGTGTGAGTGATGGGAAATGTTACAGAGGAGTGCAATGATTGGCGTAAGTGATGGGACACTTAAGAGAGGAATCCACGGATAAGAGTGATTGATGGGACATTTAGAGAGGAGTCCAAGGATAAGTATGAGGGATGAGACACTTTAGAGAGGAGTCCAAGGATAAGTGTGAGTGATGGAACACTTCAGAGAAGAGTGCAATGATGTGCGTGAGTGATTGGACACTTTAGAGAGGAGTCCAAGGATAAGTGTGAGTAATGGGACACTTTAGAGAGGAGTCCAAAGATAAGTGTGAGTGATTGGACACTTTCGAGAGGAGTCCACGGATAATTGTGAGTGATGGGACACTTTAGAGAGGAGTCCAAAGATTTGCGTGTGTAATGGGACACATTAAAGAGGAATCCAAAGATTAGCGTGTGTGATGGGACACTTTAGAGAGGAGTCCAAGGATAAGTGTAAGTGATGGGACACTTTAGAGAGGAGTCCAAAGATAAGTGTGAGTGATAGAGTACGAAACTAAATTATGTACGTGTGTTGTAATGGTGGGCGTCATGTCTTCCCTGATTAACGGTCTCCTGGGTCATGAATGACCTCCAGTCTTCCTTTCTGGTTTCGACGTGCGACGTCTTGACGGGTGCCACTTTTGGGAAAGGAAGCTTTTACCCTTCTTAACACCTTATGTCGTTCTTTTTTAAGATTTAAAGTTTGTCTCTTCTTAAAAATCCCATTTTTGTTAGGTTGAAGTATATCATTTAAAAAATGCAGGAATCGACCTAGTCCTAACTGGTGTATTTTAAAAACATCATCCGGATGAGTCTTTTGTTTTGACGTCTGCTCGGTTCCTGATGATATCTTTTGTTTTGACGTCTACTCGGTTCCTGATGATGTCTTTTGTTTTGACGTTTACTCGGTTTCTGATGATTTCTTTCGTTTTAATGTTTGCTCGGTGCCTTGATGATGCCTTTGGTTTTGACGTTTGCTCTGTTCCTGATGATGTCTTTTGTTTTGTCTTCCATTAGGTTCTTGAAGATATCTCTTGTTTTGACGTCTGCTTCTTTTGCTACAAATGTCCATTGTTTTGATGTTTGTTCACTTCCTGTTGATTTCTTTCGTTTTGATGTTTGCTCGGTGCCTTGATAATATCATTTACTTTGACGTTTGCTAGTTTCCTGGAGATGTCTTTTGTTTTGACCTCCATTCGGGTATTAAAGATATCTGTTGTTTCGACGTTTGCCCAGTTCTTGATGATATCTTTTGTTTGAACATCTGCTCTGTTCTTGAAGTTATCATTTGTTTTGACGTTTGTTCGATTCATGATGGTGTTTTTGTTTTGACGTCCATTTGGTGCTTGATGATGTTTTTTGTTTTGTCTTCTGCTCAATTCTTGATGATTTCTTTCGTTTTGATGTTTGGTCGGTGCCTTGATGATATCTTTTATTTTGTCGTTTGCTAGTTTCCTGGTGATTTTTTTGTTTTGACCTCCATTCGGTTATTAAAGATATCTTTTGTTTTGACGTTTGAGCTGTCCGTTATGACATCTTTTATTTTGACGTTTGCTAGTTTCCTGGTGATTTTTTTGTTTTGACCTCCAATCGGTTATTAAAGATATCCTTTGTTTTGACGTCTACTCGATTCCAGATGAAGTCTTTTGTTTTGACGTTTACTCGGTTTCTGATGATGTCTTTCGTTTTGATGTTTGGTCGGTTCCTTGATGATATCTTTTATTTTGTCGTTTGCTACTTTCCTGGTGATTTTTTTGTTTTGACCTCCAATCGGTTATTAAAGATATCCTTTGTTTTGACGTCTACTCGGTTCCTGATGATGTTTTTTGTTTTGGCTTCTACTCGGTTCCTGATGATGTTTTTTGTTTTGACGTCTACTCGATTCCAGATGAAGTCTTTTGTTTTGACGTTTGAGCTGTCCGTGATGATATCTTTTATTTTGTCGTTTGCTACTTTCCTGGTGATTTTTTTGTTTTGACCTCCAATCGGTTATTAAAGATATCCTTTGTTTTGACGTCTACTCGGTTCCTGATGATGTTTTTTGTTTTGGCTTCTACTCGGTTCCTGATGATGTTTTTTGTTTTGGCTTCTA